ATCTCCTCTCCTCTCTGTTGTGAAACATTGTCCAGGAGGAGAGGAGGCAGTAGCACCGTTAGTCCTGTTAAGCCTGTAAAGTAGTACTGTAGAATTGATACAATTGATACTTTAATCAACCTAAATGTGTGTTTTGTTTTTTTTTTGTTACACAGAGTCAGTACAAATTTGTTTGTGAAGCTATTCTTCGTGTTTACAAAGAAGGATTAGTTCGACCACTGGATTCCAGTTAGCACAGCAGTGAAGGATGAATTCTTTTCCCCTAAAAACCCCTAAAAAGACTCTCTCTCTTTTTTTTTTTTTTAAACAAAGCAGAGGCTTGTTTCTCAAAGTAACTAGAATGGACTAGAAGCCCATGAGACAAGAGGAGCACATCTGAACTGTGGCACTTTAAATTTGTCAAGATTGCTAAATCATGTACAGTATACAGAAATCCTGTAGATAAGTATGAGAGCAATTCTGTTTAATATTCTTTATTCACATAGACACCATAAACAATCTTGGAAACCTGAATACGTATCTTTTGCTGCCTTAAAACAACCTTAACCTTAGAAGTTAGAAAGGTCCCAATGTTTCTTTTTAAAATACAAAAAGAAAAACAGTAGTATTGAAATGGTCCAATTTAGGAAAGTATTTAATGTCTTTATATTATGTGAAAGGTCATGGAAGTTTATTGTAATTTCATGTCTGAACACTAAATATTCATGGAAATGTAACCTTGGCTTCTAAAAGGCTGATGAAGAGCTTCAAAGCTAATGCATAACTACTATACGTTGACAGCTGAAGAAATTAAATAGGTCCCATAAATCTGTTAGTAAGTATGCCGGCTGTTATAATATGCTTCTTAGAAATCACATCCACTGTATGTGATATGCAAAATAATACTGCATTTAAGCATATGCAGATGGTACAGTCTAAATCTGTTTATTGCATTAGCTACTGCACTACTGTTCTGTTTCTGCTGCCCTTCCCCTTTATACTTGTATTCGCTGCTCTTTCTATTTATGAACTGAAAGCATTTTAACTGAAAATGAGGTTGAATTCTCTCACCTTTGTTTCCATGTGTATTTATGAGTTCTCAAATGTAAATGTGGATTAATGTTGCATACAAGTACAAGACTCTGACTTACTGTATATGCAAAGTAGCCTAATCCAATACTGGAAGAAAAAATTACTACTGAACCCATTAAATATGTTGCTGCTAATTCCAGGTGTGAAGCTTACAAGGCACAGGTGTTACTAGTGTTGAGACGGTGATAAAATATTGACTTGCTGCCTTTCAGCAGAAACTGCGTTCTGGTTATCAAGTGAAAACACAACTCCCTTTTGCAAGAGTTCTGCGGATTTATTGTATTTCTTTCCTTTATGGAAATGCAGCTGAATTCACGTGAAGATTTACAGGATCGGTAAATAATTCACCCTAAGGTACACTGGTCTCCATTTCATTTCAAATGGGAGAATTGGACTTTCTGAACAATATAACCACATTTGTGTGATGTTAATTTATTTTGTGTGTTTTTTGATTACCCTCAGATAATTCTTCATTTTTAAATGCTTTAAAAATATATTCTAAGGGATTGTTTAAAACTCTGTTATTTAAAGATTAAACCTAAATAAGGAAAAATTTTTATGGGGCATATTATCCAGATGTTTATATGTGTATAAAAGAGAAAATTAGATAATTTTCATGTTAGCTATATATGTCTGTATACACACACACCTTCAGATATATTTTAGAATTATTGTTTGTATTATGGATATTATCATTTATATCTGGAGTTTCATTATAGAAACTACCAAAGCTGTACAATATGCATCTCATGTTACCAGAAGATTGTGTTTTTGTTTTTTCTCGGAGATGGCTGAAAAGTGAATGTAGGATATGCTAAATTACAGACCCTTTTCTTCTGCAGACTTGATCCTTTCATCAAGATGACATTATTAGTTGTAAGCGGAGAAAAGAAAGTATCTGGTTACTATTTATTGATCAAAAGAGTTTTGCTAGTTGAAACACGAGGGTTAATTGGCAGCCTAGAAAGCTTCTGTAGGTTGAAGGGTGACTAGTTTTGTGTTCATTCAAATATATTGCATTCCAGGTTTTATTTAACTTGAATGTTTTGTCGTATATTGGATCTTTGTCCTCTTGCTTAATTGGGGATGGACTGGAAGGCAAGAGACTGTAATTCTGGTTCAGACTCTCTAGCTTTCTGAACTGCGTCATGTCACTCAGTCTCTCTCTGTGCCTCAGTTACTCCAAATGTAAAATGATACTGGGCATGCATATTTCATTTGGGAAGCTTTTTTGAAAGTATAACATGGAATATGTTGTACAAGTGCATGCTGCCTACTGTTGTTTGAGAGAATATTTAGAAAGCCTAGTGGCTCCTCCCACATGAGAAATAATGGATACTGTGCCTGCTGGCTGGTTGTTTAACAAAAGCTCTTTTTGTTATTGTGTGTGTCCTTTTCTATTAAAACATCTTTTTTGAAATTGTGCTGTGCCCAGGTGTCAGAATCATTGCTTGCAGCTGGCAGGATTTGTAATTAATAGTTTGTCAAGGACTGTAAAAGGTAAGGAGAAAAAAAGCATGTGAATAGTAAGAAAATATTTAGAGCATTTCTTTTCACATGTGTTTCCTTCATAAAAGAACTTGATTAAACTTTTAGTTTGTTTCTGTTGAAGGTTACAGATAGAAGTATATCACTATTTATGTTTCTTCATATTGAATATATAGTTATTAAAATGCTGTAGAATTTCAGAGTATAACTCATCTCTTAATATACGTAACACAGGTTTGACTTAGTATATGTATTTTAAAATAACAATGGTCATAGTCTGACAACAAATGCTGCTCTTGATCTGGTAACCTTAGAGAGAATAGATGGTTTCTGTATTGTTATTGAATTTTTATTTGGATTTTAATGACTTGTTTGAAATTGCTAGCCACTGATAACTCCATTTAAAGGTGTAAAAATAGTTATCTCTAATATTTTAACTAGACAAGTATCCTCTATATTATGTCCATCTTTATTTCAGTCTTACTGGGTTTTGCACGTGTACCAGTAGGGTCTTTATGGGAGAATGAAGGGGGTTTTTTCTTCTCTGTAGTGAGTGATGACTTTGCACTGATTGATGTATACCTTAGATTTCATCTTGCAATGAAAGCATAATTGTGAAAACATCTTAATGCTGGGTTCTGTTTCCGCAAGAATTGGGAAATTAAAAAGGCACAGTTTCTTGATTGAGGAGTTCAAGCTCCTAACACACAGAATGTTTCGCTACCAGGCTATTGACAAATGAACAGAAAATGCTGTGAAGTCCTTTTGAAGGTTCTGTATAACCTCCGTAAATGTTTTAACCTCATTTTTGCCGGTGTTTGTGAGATCGTGACAATAAGTATTTAAGATGTCTAGCATGGGGGCAAATGAAGAGGGAGCAATAAGCCTTTGAGATTTTGACCACTGTGAGATTCACTAGCACTTACTCTTCAGAACTGAACAAATTTTAGCTAAGTGGCTTTGTGTTTGCTACAAAAGTAACCCAAATGCCTTTAAAGTGTCTTCAGAAATATCACAGGGGGAGTACTTCTGAGGGAGGAACAGATCTTCCCACCTATTGAAAATAAGAAAAATGGTGCCATAAACCGTGAATGCCTTTCATGTAACAGGGTATATGAAACCTAAAGCATTAAAACGCGACCAAAATCTTGAGTAGCAGTGGTGGTTTGGGGAGAGGGGAGGAAATCATTTTGTAATTCAGGATTTTCCTCTCAGTAACCTTGTCTTTAGGTGTTGGTACAAAACTACTAAATTATATGTAATCAAAATTGTACCTAAAAATTCATTACTATCTTTTAATATACACCCATTTTCTTAATAGTTCATTCTTTTCCGCTCCTTTTTCTACTATGCAATATTTGGTAGAAATTTCAAAAGAACTTGTAGCTCTGAAATACCTAATGAGAGAGCTGTGCATTTGCTTTAATGCCAGCACAATATACTGATTTACAATGAAAGTTCTTCCTTGTAAATAGTGTTCTTACATGTCAAACTGTAAATGCATAAATGGTCCACTGATTACAGCTGTTGAAAATGGCATGCATGGTTCATATTTGATCAATTAAAATTTAATCATAGTTGTTGTCAAATACCTTAAATGCAGCGTTTAAGTGCAAATTTATTTTACTCATTCAAGTAAAGTCTTTCTGGAACAAATGTGCACTAGGAAATGTTTGTATTTCAATTGGTAACCTGCAATTAGTCTACTTGTTTAAAAGCATTTATTAATTGAAACTATATTGAAGATAAAATTGTCATGAAACATTTTATTCAAAGGCAGTTGAAAAGCCAAGTGAATGATTAATTCATTATATAAAACATAATATTTTGATTATATGTCTTCTCTTGCATTTGAGTACTGATACTGATAGTGTTAAGCCATCTCAGATGACTGTTATAACAATAGCATTATATGAACAGTTTAAATATAGCAATTTAATCCAATGATTTAGTTTTACTGTACTATAACATATTTAACTTCCTAATTGTGCAGTAGCTCTGCAATAGCAAGCTTCAGATTACGGTACCCACAATCACTGAAACATATTTTTAAAAAATTAAGTTTCTCCTATTGAAAAGGAGCTAGTATTGCCTAACATTGATAGACTTGACTTAACCATTTTCAGCTCAGGCAAGCTATGCAAGTGTGTTGTTCTGATTTGACCACTTGAGCAACAATTGTTGAGGACATATATCATGTCCTCATATCGTGGAAAATCGTGGAAATAAATATGGAAAAATGGTGCAGACAATTTTTTTTTAGGGTGTAGTAAAGACACCATTAATCTTTTTTTTTTTTTTTCAAAATCTTAGGAGATGACTTTGGCATGGGGTGTAGAACATGTCTCTGAGTTATCTAATTTTGTTGCAGACTACTTGGAGAAGAGTCTTAGAGTGTGCATCGTTTTGAACTTAATGGAATTTTTGGAATCTTTAAAATCTTCATGAAGTTCTTGTTCAAAATATTAAAGCATTGACTTTAATAGATACTGGTGAAACGCTTCAGTTTACTGTTAGTTGTTTGATTTCTGTTTCCTTGGCTTTCATCATGTCATTTTTTGAGTTGTCATTATCTTACCTCATAAAACACTTTCAAGTTTCCCACAATTGTAAAACTGGCTTTACTGTAGACAAGCTAAGCAACATTGCTGTTGCTTGAAACATGATGTTACTTATACTGCTGAAGGTGCAGTGTGGTGTTCAGACCGGCCAGAACTGAGTTCCTGTCTGGATTTTAAA